TTTTCACTTTCTTAATTGCATACTTTAAAACACAAAGTTTTAAATTTTGATGAAGTCTAATTTATCTATTTTTCTGTTGTCATTTGAGTTTTTGGTGTCATCTAAGAAGTCTTTGCCTAACCCAAAGTCATGAAGGTTTAATCATATTTTCTTCTAAAAGTTTGATAATGTTAGCTCTCACCTTTAGGTCTATGGTCCATTTTGAGTTAGTTCTTGTGTACAGTATGAGTGAGGGGTACAAATAATTACTGAACACCTATTATATACCAGACACTATGCTAGATACAAACAACTCAGTGACAGTGATGCGTGATGTATGATCATTTTTCACTTTCATGCCCTTGCTGAAGCAGCATAACACCTGGGATGTTTTCCTGCCTAAATGTCTCCTTTTAAAAATATAACCCAGATCAAATTTCAATTCCTTTCAATGAAGACTGCCACAATATCTCCCCTTCTTCCTAAAAGTTGCTCTCTCTCACTCTCTCTCTCTTCTGACATTCCCACAAGTTTGGTTATATAGTTTTTATAAAATTTGTTATCTTTTGAATTGTATTTTAGTTATGCATTTGTTTTAACTATGCTGGTAAGGAGGCACCATGCCTTCTTCACTCTGACCTCTTACACCATGGTAAAGTAATGTAAAACAGAAGTTTAATAATATTCTGATTGCTGTTGTCATCACTGGAAAAAACGCATGAAAAGCCAATCCCCAAAAGCAATTGTCAAAAGTGACAACATGTGAAAGGAGCTGTTTTAGGAGTAACACATTTCAGCATTTCAAACTTCTTGGATATGGCAGCATATCTAAGATAACTGTTCCCATGTTACATAAATGTTAAATTATCTACCCCAGTGTTTACGTCTTCTAGAAAAATCTTTAAGGGACACTTCCATCAAGAACTAATACCATTATTCTACTCTCTATCTTCATGAGTTCAGTTGTATTAATTTTTAGCTCTCACAAGTAAGAAAGAATGTGTGATGTTTGTCTTCCTTCACTGGCCTGTTTCACTTAACAAGAAGGATGGTTACCAGAAGCTGGGAAGGGCAGTTAGGGCAGGGAGGGGATGGCTCAGGAGTTAACAAAATATAGTTGGATAGAATGAATAAGATCGAGTATTTGATACTAGCAAAATAGGGTGATTACAGCTAATAGTAATTTACTGTATGTTTAAAATAACCAAAAGAGCATAATTGGAAAGAAAGGATAAATGGATACTCCATTTACCCTAATGTTATTATTACTCATTGTATGTGAGTATAAAAATATCTCGTGTACCCCATAAATATATACATTGACTATGTACCCATAAAAATGTAAAACAGAATACTCTAATAACATTATATACAAAGAGTATGTATGCATACCTTTGTATCATTTATGTGTATGTGTGTGCACAGAGGGGTATTTTAACACTAGCTCAGTAAAGGCACAAACATTGTATAAAACAATGAGGATAGTTTTCAATATTACTTATCCATCAACTATTGAATCAAATGAATTTGAGATCTAAGTTAAAGAGTAAACACCAACACAGAATCTTAATAGAACAACCTAAAAAGAATGGGGTAGAAAACAGAAATCTCTGAATTTAAATTTTCATGTCATATGAAAATCAGATCAGAATATCCTATAATACGTTTCTGAAGAACCTAAATATCTGAAAGCAGATTTAAAGGTTTGTAAACAAAGTCTAAAAGATTATTAATAAAAGCTATTGGCCAGGCACAGTGGCTCATGCCTGTAATCCCAGCGCTTTGGGAGGCCAAGGGAGGCGGATAACCTGAGGGTGGGAGTTTAAGACCAGCCTGACCAACATGGAGGGACCCCCTCTCTTCTAAAAATACTATATTAGGCAGGCATGCCTGTAATCCCAGCCACTCAGAAGGCTGAGGCAGGAGAACTGCTTGAACCTGAGAGGCAGAGGTTACAGTGAGCTGAGATTGCGCCATTGCACTCCAGCCTGGGCAACAAAAGCAAAACTCAGTCTCAAATAAAATAAAATAAAATAAAAGCTAGCAAGTCAAAAAGTGAACCAATGACACATTACAGGGTTCACAGTATCTTAGGATTCCATATAGAATAATAAGAGATCATGACTTGATGAGAATAAATTTCAAATGGATGGCTTTTACTCTTTAGAAAGCTACAATTTAAGAAGCAAACTATCTGTAGGGCACAGTGGCTCATGCCTGTAATCCTAGCACTTTGGGAGGAGAAGGCAGGACAATCACTTGAGGCCAGGGATTCAAGACCAGCCTGAGCAATATAATGAGAGCCCATCTCTCCAATTTTGGAGTTAGATGGTAGAGTCAGTCCTACAGAAAGATTCAAAGGCATTTGATGACCACTGGGCAATATAATTTGGTTTCTTATGGTTGCGACTAGAATAAAAGTTAAATTCTTCTCATCTCAAACAGTTGCTAAGGTGATTGTTAGGAATTAGAGAAACAAAGCTTATATGATACTGTAACAATATTCATCATTGGTTATACTTTATTCACATGGTTATAGTTTAAAAGCAATCATAATTCACTTATGATCTTTGTTTCATTTTCTATATTCAGGTTCTATATTTGGTTATATGTAACCAAACTTCTCTGAAAGTTCAGTCCATTTTTATTTAAAAAAATCCATTGAAAGAGTCTCCTTTAACAATTCTCTCCTGTTCCCTTTACTCACCAAATAAAATTTTATGTAATTCTGATAATACAAACACCGAAGCACAGCCAAGTCAATGGAACTTTACTTGCTTTTTCATACACTCTTATTGCCCGTGTCAAGGCATTCTCTCTCTCCACAGGTATGAGTAAAAAAAATTTTTTTTTTAATTTCCCCTTAAACAGCCAGGGCAGTTTCCTCATTATCTAGGCTCATTTGAAGGTTTCAGGTTTCCCCAGAAATCTTCAGACCAACATGATTGCACTAAAGTACTAATACTAATGTTTTTGGAACTTGCAATTTACTTTCTATGTTGTTACTTAACTGACTTGTGAATTATACAGTATAATGAGGATCAACATTTTCTTAATAAACTTAGAAACCTCTAGGTAGACTGAAAGTACTCTATGTACTACAGTGAGAATAAAAATATGTCCTTATTTTTAAGTATTTATTCAAACTCTTTGCTAATACAGTTCATTCGGTCTTGGTATAGAAAGTTACATCTGGGAATCCATAGCTGCATTAAGACCTCACTTTCCTTTTTCATCTTTTACAAATAAGTGGTTCAAAGTATTAGCTCAGGACACAGAATTTTATGTGGTTATTGGCAAGGGCACTTACCAATAAATTCTGCAAAAGAAAAGGAAGGAACGTGTTCATTTTCCCAGTTAATGACTAATGTAAAAGAGAAAATGGTTTTGAATGTGTAAGTCACTTATACAACAGCGTTTTTAGCAATGGGAATGACCAATAAAACATGACATTATCATGAAAGAACACATGATGGTGCTCATTGTTAAGGTTACTGCTGTTTGTTTAATCACCTTTCAGGACTCTATCAGGACTAATTCACAGTCATCTCACCTACTGAATCAGTGCTAACCGTTCTCTTCAATTAACTCTGAGAAAAGGCAGCAAAATTCAAGTTCATAAATCCATTTGAAAAATGTTGTGCTTTACAAAGCACAACACATAAATGTTAACAAAAAAGAATTGTCAATGACAGATTCCAAATGGAATTTTCCCAGTATTTCTAGGACACAGATGCTATAAGAAATTCATTTTTACTTAGTGAAAATTTCATACAAGAAGAAAACAGTCAATTAGTGACTCTAAAATCTGTACCCTTTAACAGCAGAATTCACAGGACTATTACAAATTCCAACTGTCCTATCATTGCATAATCACCTCCATGATTGACAAATACCAGTGAATATGACCTATTTCCTCAAAGAAATATCAGTTTTACAGATCTCTGATTAAAGAAGAATGCTACTAAGGCAACCTCAGAACTTCAGAGCTATACACATTCAACACATTTTTGTGGAGTAAATGGCACAGGAATATTATATAAATCAAATAATAATTATTTACAAATAATAAAACATTTGCAGATGACCCAAATTCAAGGTTTTAGTAAACATAATTCCCTATTGCCTTCCTGGCCCCAGCTGGGGTTTCTAAACAGTTATTAGATATATTTTTCTTATCACAGGTATGGCAAGTGTAGAATTAAGTGAGCTGTTATGCCAATTAAAGATTAGAACATTCAACTTAGGAAAATCTTAAAAGATACATTTTGGAATTATAAACTTAATACCTTAAGGGGATGGCAGATTGTGACATCACTCACACACACACACACACACACACACACACACACACACACGAGAAAAAACTAGCATCAGTCAGGTTGTGGCTGCACACAGCTATCTTTGTTTATCATTGGCTAATATCTGGATTGGGTGCTGTTCCCACAGTCTCATATCAGGACAATCATTTAGAAATGAAACAAACCACAGGAAACAAGCAAGGCAACTCTGCAGCTGCCTGGTATGCATCATCACTGCAAACTTAGTATTAAAGAGTTCTCTAATATAATTTTGAAATACCAACCCACTATGTTGATGTCTGGATTTGGGGACGTCCTTATTAGAACTTGATGAACTTCTCCTGTGGTTGATGGCAAGACAATATTTGGTATCTTCATCTAAGCCATGTTCCAAAATATAAGCAGTGTCACAGTAAGACTCCCAGGCTGGAGTGCAGTGGCGTGGTCTCAGCTCACTGCAACCTCTGCTTCCTGGATTCAAGTGATTCTCCTGCCTCAGCCTCCCAAGTAGCTGGGACTACAGGTGTGCACCACCACACCCAGCTAATCTTTCTTTTTTTAGTAGAGACAAGGTTTCACTATGTTGGCCATGCTGGTCTTGAACTCCTAACAAAGTGATCTGTCTGCCTTGGCCTCCCAAAGTGCTGGGATTACAGGCGTGAGCCACTGCACCCAGCCAAAAGAAAAATTTTTTATTAATGAAATAAGGTAACTACTTACATAATCTGGTAGAGGAACATCATTAGAACTCAGCGAACCTCTCAAGGACTGTGTGGCTTGTTCCAGAACTTTGTTGTGTTTTTTGGACAGCAAAGAAAATAAACTGGAAAAACAAACAAAAAACCAATTATATTAAAGGCATTGTTTTCTTTTCTAGGTCTTATATAGAATTATATAGTTCCACAGCATGTCAATTATTCTAAAATATACTTGTAAATGATTCTTTCTTCATGTCTATGTTCACAGCAAGATTAACCATACTATTTATATAAGAAAAAAAGGAGGAGGATGCTTAAATTATAAGAGTTCTAAAAAATTGTTTTTAATGACAGTTTAAAATTAAGTTTCAAACATAGGAAAATTTTTCATAAGATTACTATAGGGAAAAGAATAGTGGAGAAAACCCGAAATATAGACTATGACAAACTCATAGTGTAATCTACTACAAGTCACTTGAGCTTGTGTACCTTCTCACCTTCCAAAAAAGTGCACTGGAAAAGATTATTTCTCTGTCATATAGAGTCTATGGTTCTGTATTATAGCTTTCTCTCTTTTTTTTTGAGACAGAGTCTCGCTGCAACCTCCGCCTCCCGGATTCAAGCTATTCTCCTGCCTCAGCCTCCTGAGTAACTGGGACTACAGGCGTGTGCCACCATGCCCAGCTGATTTTTGTATTTTTTTAGTAGAGACAGGGTTTCACCATGTTGGCCAGGATGGTCTCGATCTCTTGACCTTGTGATCTGCCCACCTCGGCCTCCCAAAGTGCTGGGATTTCAGGCGTGAGCCACTGCGCCTGGCTACACCTTTATTTCTAAAAAATAATGACTTGAAATGTTTTATAAGATTTCTGCTCTGGCCATGATGGATCAACCAACACTGGACTAACTCTCCTGCTATCACTAACTAAAAACTTAAAAAAAATATGAGGCTGGGCATGGTGGCTCACGTCTGTAATCCCAGCACTTTGGGTGGCTGAGGGGGGTGGATCATGAGGTCGGGAGTTCGAGACCATCCTGGCCAGCATGATCAAATGCCGTCTCTACTAAAAAAAAATAAAATACAAAAATTAGCCGGGAGTGGTGGTACATGCCTGTAGTCCCACCTACTTGGGAGGCTGAGGCAGGAGAATTGCTTGAACCTGAGAGGC